TTAACTCATTGGAGTCAAGAGATACTTACTTCACTGAAATATTGAGGCCTAGTGGCTCTCTAGAGAAACTGACTGAGAACAATAAAGGTTTTTACATATTAAGGTGGAAGGTAGGGTGGAGGAACATCCCTGAGGAGGCAGAGAACTGTGTGGAGAGGGAAAGAAAGGGCAGCCATCTTTCTGTAGAGAGACAGAACGGCATGGCGAGAGAGGAGAGGATGACAGAGGATCCATAGAGGGTAAGCAGATCTTGGGTAGAGTTTTCTGAGTGCCAGGAGTAGAGAGTAGTGGAAATGGAGAATGAGGAAATCAAAGATGTAGACGAGGCTGGAAGCATAGGAGTTTAGTTATTAGCAGAACTATGGGCTAGGGAACTGGACAGAACTGATGCTATGTAGACGGGATTTCATCCCAGAGAAATGAAGTAGATGGATAAAGAGCTTGGTGTATCTATATTTATTCTCATCCTGGATGCCTGATGGAGCTATAACTGTATTGATAGAATTTTGTCTTAGAGGAATAAAGTTAACAGACTTAGTGTACAAACATTTTGCCCCCTCAGATAATCCACGCCAGACGTAGTGAAATCCTCAAGATCCCGGGTATCAATATGATATTTTCAAAAGAAAGTTTTTTTTTGTTTTTTTTTGTTTGTTTGTTTGTTTTTTTTTGGCAAAATAGCAACCGATTATGTACACACAAATATCTATGTATATATGTTCAGACAGACAGTGAGAGGGAACTCATGAAGACACCCATAGTAATGCAGCATCACTAGAGAGCTCATTACGCTGATTACTGTCCTCTATTTGGATAATGAACTTCCCAAAGCCCGCTGAAAAAGAATCATTGGAAAGGAAGAATTACATTGGGTCCCCAGTACAATATATGCTTATTTTTCTTCATATAAGGCGATGGGATTTTTGCTCTGTCTCTTAACAAAGGACTTAAAATATTCAGAGACAGTTTTGACTATTTTACATGGAGTACAACCGGAAGTACCTACTTGGGTATGGCATCAAGATGCTGGTAAAGTTCCCGCACTGAAGGAAGGAGTATAACATGCTTAACCTTTCCAACAAAGTGCTTTGATATCTAACTCAGCAGTGTCCTGGTTAAAAACCCTGCTTGACATACAGAGAAGTATGAGTGTGATCCAAGGGATTGGTGTGATTTGCACTTCAAAACAAGGAATAGGCTAGCATTTTAATGAGCCTTTCCACTTAACCATTTAGAGAGCCATGGGATAGGATGTGAGGGGAAGCCACGGATATGCACTGCTCACTGTTTTAGGAAGGAGGAAAGTCTTAAATGCTATGATTTCTGAGTTTTCTTCAAAGCAGAAAAGCAGAAATTTTCAAGCAAATGATTAAAAAATGTAAAATAAATGCAGCTCCTGACTATTCTGTAATAAAAAAATATGTGTTATACTTAACTATATGAGAAAATAATCTTAATACTTCAGAGTAATATTGTCTTTGTTATTAAACATTATTAGGTGTTAAAGTGTTCCTTATCAAGATAGCCCAAAATAAACATGAGTCTAGTAAAATTCCTACAAGATGGAAAGTGTATATTAAATGTTCATTGATTTGGAATTGAGAAAGAGAGAAAATATCACAAGGAGGGCTTAAGAAGTAATAAAAGCATAAAATACGGACGCTACGGAAATGGTCCTATGGTTGAGTGCTTGCTGCTCTTCCAGAGAACTCAAGTTCAGTTTCTAGACCTAAGTCCTCATGCTCACAACTGCTTCTAACTCTAGTTCCACAGGATCTAGACCTTTCTTCTGGTCTCTATGTGTACCCTAGAATGTGCATAACAAACTATGTTGATATTTAGCTGATGATCAGTTGTACTAAAAATACAAGAATTAACTATAGTCAGACTGAGATTGAAATAGCAGGTCAGTTTGAAATTAACAATACCCTTTTCCTTGTTTCTTTATTTTATCTCTTAGCAGAATGTTGAGCTGTGTTTAGTCATTGTTGTTATCTCTTTTAATCCTAGTTAAAAATTTTCAGGACCTTGGCATAGCCTGGTTCTGGGCTTGTAGATCCATCCTCGTGTTTCAAAAAGCTGATTTTTCATGGACTTACCTTACCTGTTACCCAACTCTACATTTTTAGTTTTAGTAATAAAAGTAATACTATTCAATATAGAGTCAGAAGATTCAATCTTGATATAATTTTATATTCAAAAGATAGCTAATTACCTATAGTGATGTTAAAAAATTAACATTACTTCAGATAGAGACAGTCATGGGACCAATGTGTCTTTAATATATCCAGAACTGCCAAAGACTTAAGATAACTACTGTAACTACAGTACATGGTAGTTCAAAATGCTTGTCAGCCGGGGTAGTACTGCTGCTGCTATAGTTGGTAGCATGAACCTTGGAAAACAGGGCCTGAGAATGAAATATGAGGTGGACTAAAGTCTCATGCAATAGCCAACTTTATTCAGAGCAGCGGGCCATTTATACTCTAAGAAGATCACTTGAGTAAAGTTCTCACAAGTTCAAGTTGTGTATAATCACAAGAACAAGCTGCACATGGCAAAAACCATGGTTTGTTTTTTTTTTTGCTAGAGGCATAACAAATGGCAATAGCCAGCTGTCATGAGTACACTGAAGAAAACTCACCATCTCTGCTGCACCTGAGAGGGAGAAGAAAACAAATTTCAAGAACAATTCTGGGTTTTTGAAGAAACTGAGGTCATAAGACTCTCATCTTGTTTCCTTGCAGTTTTCTTACAAGCGCTCAGAATTCTTATACAACTCCATTTTGAACTGTGTTTTGAGAACTATGGGACTCAAAAGTTTCATAATCTTGGATGGGAGCAAATTTTATCCTAGAGTGCCCAGGATTAATTTTGATCATGAAATTTCATATCCTTATCTAATTTTTAGAAGTTGAAAAGTTTCAATCTCAAAAGACATTTCTTTTTAATATAATAGACTATGTGACTGCTTCTTTTATTTTTAACATCATAATTGGGAAAATGCAAGAACAGATAGGATTGATAATTAACAATGGGTGGTCTTATGATACCATTTGAAATGGAGGGTGTCCTTGTGGCTTTTCATACACACTTTTTTCTTTTGTCCACTGTTGTGGAACAGCTTCCTCAAGAGTTTAAGCATTTCATCGTGCAAGGTAGCTTCTTAGCAAGAAAGATTAAAACCTCAAAGCAGCTTCGGGAAGTCCCTGAAACTGATCAGATTCAGTTCCTTCTCCTCAAGAGTAAACAAGGCAAGCTGCAAAGGAGACAGACTCTCAGACCAGATCACCTGCCTGGAGAAAGCAGAGGTGCCTGGAAGAGGTTTAGACCAGAGTCATTTGGAAAGGACACTCTCCAACCTTCAGGGCTGCCTGCTTGCTGGGCAATGTGATCTAGGTTTCCCAGCTTTCCTAAGCTGTCACCAATGCTGGGGCGAGCTTTGGTCTTACATTTTAAGTCATTTCTGCTCCTGAATGTAACTCCAATAAAACTTATTGGTTAACTCAGATGGACTTTTGTGCTATTATGACTTTGGCCTGTCATGGGTTCCCTATATTGGTTGAACAGACATCTGTGTTTTGTCTACTCAAGAAAAGCCTTGTCACACTACATCCCCCTCTGCCAATTCCTCTTTTGTATGCTGTCAACTTTGCTCTGGTCTTTCTTGTGCTCTACAGTCTTTTTCCTGCTTTTATGTCACACCATGTGGCCTGGTCCTTTATAACCTTTTAGCAACTATCATAGTTCTTCATTTGTTTGTTTCCCTGGGGATTGGATAGACGGTCTTGCTTTTTCAAGTAAGCATTTTAACTCTGGTCTACAACCCCAAGGAACTCCGATGGATTTTTCACTGGGTTGTTCACAAGAGCTAAACTTTCTACAATAGAGAAGAAGCATGTCTCTTACTACACAGGGTTTTATATTAAAGGTGTGGCTTTATAACCAATACAAGAGGGTAATATAAAGAGTAATGGTGTGGTGGTTTGAACAAGAATATCAGCCATAGTTTCATATCTTTAAATACTTAGGCCCCAGTTTGTTGAACTATTTGAGAAGGATGAGGAAGTGTAGCCTTGATGAAGGAGGTATGTCACTAGGGGCTGGCTTTGAGTTCTCAAAAGTCCATTCAATTCCCAGTCTTCTCTGTCTCACCCCCCCCCCACATTTGTCATTAGGTCTAAGGATTTAAGTTCTCAGCTTCTTCTTTTTCATGTATCTGCCCCTGCTGCTGTGCTCCCTTCCATGGCCACAGATTCATCCTCTGAAACTGTAACCTCCTAATAGACTCTTTTTCTTTTTCTAAACGTTGCCTCGTTCATGTGTCTCATCACAGCAATAGAAAAATAACTAATACTGCATTTAAACAAGGTTACTGGATATACTTTGATAACAAGTGCACACAAAGACAAAGTCATAACGTTTGAAGTCAATGAGTCCCTATTGCTACATTTTCCTTGTCATATCTGTATCTCTTCTGCAGAGCCGTATTTTCTGTTTGCCTCTGTTTCTTGAGATTCTCTCTGACACAGTTTCACCTTGCATGGTCATCTCCTACTTGCCTGTTATTTTTTGGACTCACTGATCACAGCAAGCAATGTCAACTATATGATCAGTGATCTTAAAGTCTCTCTTCCTACCTAGTCATTTCTTGTAAGTGAAATTTAAAACCATATACAATTAACATAATTAGGGTTGGAAGAGTCCTATTAACTCCACATTGACTTTTAGCATATCACCTGTGGTTTTAATCACAGGGCCAATATCTATTAATATCTTCATCTCTAGCTTTCCTGGATGTGGAGGTTTAAATAGGTATAGTCCCATAGACTCATGTGTTTGAATGCCTGGCCCATAGGGAGTGGCATTATTAGAAGATATGTCTTGGTTGGAGTAGGTGTGGCTTAGGAGGAAGCATGCCACTGTGGGGGTAGGCTATGAGATCTCATATATACTCAAGCTATGCCCAATACACAGTATTTTCTTCTGCTATCCTGCAGATCAAGATATAGAACTCTCAGATTCTTCTCCAGCACCGTGTCTGCCTGCATGTCACCATGTCCCACCATGATGATAATTGACTAAACCTCTGAAATTGTAAGCCAGCCCCAATGAAATGTGTTTTTATGAGAGTTGCTATGGTCAGGGCATCTCTTCACAGCAATAGAACACCCTAACTAAAACACTGGAGTTCTTTACTTGGCACTGGTCATTCTCCATTTGTTTGAAAATTAGTCGCTCATATCCTCTCAGTGTATCCCGGGAAGGATATCATTAAGTATCCTTAATATCTTTGTTCTACCCGGTAGTCTCAATTTTGCTATAGTTAGTATTTTTTTTTCTTTTCTTTTCTTTTTTTTTTTCTTTTTCTTTCTTTTTTTTTTTTTTCTCTACGTGTGCTCCCCATTGCATCTGATCCTAGAGTTCTGGTACGTATCTGGCCAGTCAGGCTCCAGAGAGTATTATGAAGCCCCGGTTTCCCCTTTTGGTATGTATTTTCCAAAGCAACAATTGACCATGCTGACAGTATCTACACCGTGATTACAAGCATTCTTACTATCTAGTCTCCTATGTCATTCTATTGCCAGTGGCATACTGTGCTGATGGCTGTGTCCTTGTGATAATTCTGGAAAGTGGACAAAGCTACCCATTTAATTTATGTTTTGTTTTAAATTGCTTTAGGTCTTTAATAAAATCATCTTTGTTTCTCATTTAAGTTTTATTTTTTTAATATTCTTTTAATTTTCTAAAAACTGCTAGAAACTTGATTAGGCTTGTAGTGCTTAAGAAGACTTCAGATAATGACTTCAGATCCAAAAATGACTTCAGTGCTATAAATTAAAGAACTATCCAATTAGAGAGACAAAGATTACCTAATTAGAAAAATATGGGAAACGTGGGAATTCTGTGAGCTTTTAATTAACTGAAACAAGAAATATTCATAGTTTTTCTTTTCTCAAATCTGACTTGGTTATAATCAATCAAAAGAGACTTAATCAGTGCTAGCTTTCAGCATGGCAGTAGGTTTGTACAATTATTCCAGAATGATTTCTTTAAAATTACTCAACTATTAGTCTACTATGGAATTGATTTTCCCAGTGCCATACAGCCTTAAGCTACTATAGGCAAATGGATAGGTTAACTCTTACAATGCATTCGAATGAAAGCCTTACTGAGTCTATAAGCCAAATTTGTAACACATAGAAGCATATTCAACAGTTATGTTACTATTGATTAGAACAGTCCTGAATTATTAACAGATTTTGCTAGTAGTGGTGACAACTGAAATCAGAGTTCCCAAAAGACCTACTTTTCTGAAAGCATAGTGACATCATCTAAATATATAATAATAAAAATTGTAGTGTTGGTGATATGATAGTCTTAAGAATATTCAGAGTAATCACAGGCATCACAAAGTTCTTACTTCTGAATCACACTGATGACTCAAATAGGATCAAGTAGTCATATTTCTGCCTTTATTCAAATATTGAAGTATTTATTCCAGTGATAAAAGAACAAGATTATTAACATAATAAATATACAGCATCAGAATTATAATATGCTAAGGGGAGAGGGAATGGTGGTTGCAATTAACTACATGAAATATATACAGAGAACATTATAAAATATGCATAATAGAATGAGATAATGGAATTAAGTTCTAATGCTATGGCACAATAGAGTGACTATAGTTTACAATTATATATTTTGTGAAAATTTAGAAGAATTCAAAGACTCCAAATATAAAGATATGATAAGGAGATGGAACTGCTAATTGTCCAGACTTGATTATTACAAATTGTATAAATTATCAAATGACTATACTATAATTGCATAACTATGTATAAATATTATGTCAGTTAAAAAGAGAAAAGAATGTACACCCAAATATATAGCCATGCATAATTATTCATACCAGCCATTTTCATAAGAGATCCAAATGGTATTCAAATGTGTTTCAAGAATGGAAAAATAATTACTATTTGCCCAATATAATATTATACAGAATTAAAATGAATGTACTGTATTTTCATTAAAAATACAAACTGGGAGTAATAATCTGTTGTAAAATAAAAGACAAAAGTGCAGTATTAATAATTTTTAGTTTAAAGATCTCAATTTGTTTATTGGAGGAGTGGTTGACTTTAAAAGCTAGAATTTTTAGTCCACAAGTCAGTCAAAGTTCTCTATCTCAGAAAATGGACTATGACATGAAGTAATCAAGAGATAGGACATTTGGCTGCCCAAGACATTTTAAAATTGAACTAGTAGGGACTGGAGAGAATTGCTCACTTAGCTCACTGGAGCCATTGCTCAGTGGCTAAGACCACTTCCTACTCTTGCAGATGACCCAGATCCAGTTACCAGCAACACATGGCATTTCACAACTTCCTGTAAATCCAATCTCAGGAGATCCTACACTTTTTTCTGGCCTCCACAGGTGTATGCACATGCATGGTACACATACACACATACAGGCAAATCAGTAATGCATTGAAATAATAAAAATAAATGAATAAATAATCTTTATGAAGAGTAATTGTATTTCCTCTAAAAATGTCAAATTGTGTTAGTGGATATAATGATATAAACTGATCAAATTTGTCAGGAATCTTATTTTTTTTTTTTTTTTGGTTTTTTGAGACAGGGTTTCTCTATGTAGCTTTTCGCCTTTCCTGGAACTCACTTGGTAGCCCAGGCTGGCCTTGAACTCACAGAGATTCGCCTGCCTCTGCCTCCCAAGTGCTGGGATTAAAGGCGTGCACCACCACCACCTGGCTCAGGAATCCTATTTTATAGCATCACTCTCTGAAAGTTATTATCAGATTTTATTTGCCTCAATGGCATACTGTAGTGGATCCAGGACCTACCTTGCTTATTTTTATTGGTAGAAATCACACATGTCTGTAAGGTGCTGACTGAATTGTTGTTAAAGGTGATACCTAAGCCCACCTTGTCCCTTCTTTTATCAGGAATGACATCACTGATTCATTAATATACAATGACCTTGCACTGGCCGATGCCACACCTGTTTGGGACAATGAAGATCTTGGCAGAGAACTGCATTTTTAGACTAGAAAGGGGGGGTTATATATATATAATATATACATTATTATATATATATATAATAAAATAAAAGCTGTAGTTTCAAATATAATCACAGAAATATGTGACATATATATATATGTGTGTGTGTGTGTGTGTGTGTGTGTGTGTGTGTGTATGTATGCTTGTTTTCGAGACAGAGTTTCTCTGTGTAGCTTTGTGCCTTTCCTGGAACTCACTTTGTAGACCAGGCTGGTCTTGAACTCAAAGAGATACACCTGGTTCTGCCTCTCAAGTGCTGGGATTAAAGGCGTGCACCACCACCACCGGCTTTATGATATATTTTACTTACTGTCTAAGGCATATCACAGAATACGGACTGTCTTTGAGAAGATATGGTAAGTTACCTTACTGTTTTTCTTTTTAATTTTAGGCAGAACATACACAGTATCAGATTTCTGAACTTGAAAGCTTTTTGTTGTTGTTGTTGTTGTTTCTTTCTTTTGAGAATAAGTCTTGCTACGTAGTCTTAGTTGGCCTGGCACCAACTACGTGGTCTAGGCTGATCTGAGACTACAGAAATCCTCCTGCCTTAGCCTTCTGAATGTGGCTTACCTGCTTACATACTGTACACAATGTCTGGTGCTATCATCACCTTATATACAGAAAAATGAAGTTCTCCAGTGTTACAAAATGTGAATCATGCCAGCCTATCAAGACTGTGCCCATTACTTGTCTTCAGAACAATCTCATTGTGAGTCTTAATCCTTGTCCTGTTACTAATGATCTATTTTTTTGAGTTCTATTAATTTGACAGAAGAAAACTGAAACAAACTTTCAGTGAGCCACAATGGCTATTAATTCGGGTGTCAATGACAATTCTTTACTCATAAAATCAAAAGGCAAAAGCATTTGTGGTGTATGGTTTGAGATATTGCATGAATATCATCATGATTGTTGACTTCCTTTTTGCATTCATGTTTCTGACCATTGAAAGTGTGAGGACTCTGCATCCAACAAAAAGCCTATTCATAATTTTGCCATATATAAACATACCTTTGTGCAGAAGGTGAACTGAAGTGCACCATCTGGATTTAGATAATTATTCTAAAACATTTCTCTTTTGTGATCAGTATCTACTTTTCTTAGTTGTGCAGTGTGTTTATTCTAACCAAACAGTGCTTTCAAAGCAGACTGCCAAGCAGAGACTTGAAAGACTCCACAGGATCAGACAAATATTGAGATGAGTGTATTGAATGATAAAAGCAAAGCACAGCGGAATGAAATAATTTTAGCTCCACGTTTTCTAACCCTTTAGCCTTTCATAGAAAGTTAAATGGCCTAAAATATTTTTTAAATCGTCTAGGGGTATAAATAACTACACAGGGAATTTCAAATGTGTTAAAAAAGCAAAACCAGGAAGTCTTTTATTTCTTCTTGTAAGACATTATAGATGGAATTGATAAGTTTGTTTTCTAATTTTAGGAAAGAATAGCTTCTCTAATATCCCCTCTGCCTCTTTCCTGTTACATGGGTCTTGAGAATGGACCATCTGTTAAATTTGTCTTCTACCTCTTACACACATAGAGATGAATTAAAGTCAGTTCTTCAAATTGTCTTTTAATGTATACAGACATTTTGGTCTTTTATTAGACATGTAGCCTTAGATAATTTTGTTGCTTCATTCTTTTTCTGTATATCTTCAAGCCACATCAACAGGACTGCTTCTCTAATTCTGGGTAAATCCATCAGTTCATGCAAAACCCTTGAAGACTGCCTGATATGTTATTAATAATTGTAACATTTAGTTTGTTATTTAAATATATATATGTTAAACTTATTTTGTAAGTTTTAAATATAGATAATATAGCTGTGAACATTAAAACTTTATTTATTTATGCTAATTTACTAAGTAGTAAGTTGTGTTTATCTAGAAATTATTATCAGTACTGATGACTTTTCAGTTGTAATTATAAGATTAAAATTTAGATTGATTTTCAAAACTGCCAATACT